GGGGGGGGGGGGGGGGGGGGGGGGAGTTCCCCGGTACAGTCGGGAGTGATCCTCGATATTCTCGACGTGCAGTGCACGATGCGACACGCAATCGTGCCGAGACAAAGAAGTGGTGTACTCCAGCTAATTATCCCGCTACTCGCTCGCAATGCGAGCGGTCGTTTGATCGCGGTCGGACGCCGATCGATGCACATACTCGAGCGAGATACCCACGCGGCACGTAAAATGTGACGTATCGTAACACGACAAAGACGACACGAGCAAGGTGATTCCCGATGTCACATCTCTATCTGTCTCGATGTTAAGACATGATAGAATAATTAACAATTACTCGTTATAACTCGAAAGAAAAGACACTATAGTTAGTAATTAAAGAAAAAACTCAATTTACAAAAAAGAAGAAGGTAAAAGATGATTTTATCAAATATTTTTACACGTAAATTATATCATGCCAAAAAACATATATTTGATTGGACTTATCTCTAAAAGATAATAGATTCGTTTACGAAAGGTAACGTATAGAAACGCCAAAAGTATAATATATGAAGTCTTTTATTAATATCCTTGATATTAATATAAGAGAAGCGTATATTTATTTTTATTAAGAATATATATATATATATATCTTTTCAAATTATATATATATCTCTTTTTTAAAAATAATGTAGATTAGCGATTATACATCATTTAAATAATTAGTATAGGGACCTATTATATTGATAATGAGAAACAAATATAGTTAAACGCGATAGTTAAAAATTATTCCGCTCAAATATAACCGTCTACTTAATTCCTTCAATACTTCGTCCTAATTATTTCAAAAGTAGAAAAACGAATTAACCGTATAATAATCATTTTCCTAATTACGCACTTGATTTGGAAACGCGCACCTGATTCCAAATGCCTGAGTCAATTATATAGTAACACGAAGTGATCTCCGAATTCAGAATTCAGTGTGGTGGATTAAATCCGTCAGTGCGCGCGCTCAGCTCGCATATATATATTCGCTTAATCGATCCCTGAAGAAACAGCGGAGAGAGAGAGAGGGGGGGAGGAGAAGAGGCAGCGCGCGAGGGAGAGCTGATTTAATTACACCGGCCTGTGCAAATTAGGTCAAGACGACGCCCCGCCGCCCGTCGACGTCCCAGGGCGTCGTCGCTCGTCCCGGGAGCGACGCCTGTTTCCTTCGGATCGGATAAGAAGCGTCGTTGTCGTCGATGAGGCTTTAAGCGACCGCGCACGAGCGAGAAAGGTCCAAAGTCAAGCTGAGAGAAGTGTGCGTGCCCGTCGATATTCGTACGTTCGCCCGTACACCTGCATGCGGTTGGAAGATTAGTACTCCGGCCTACAGTCAGATAAGGAGG